CTCTCTCTCTCTCTCTCTCTCTCTCTCTCTCTCTCTTCTTCTCTATTTTTCTTCCTCTTTTTCATCCATCGTCAGTTACTCTCTTTTTCTCTCTCTTTCTCTCCTTTTTCTTTTCTGGTCTTGTTTTCTCCTTTTATCTATCGACTTCTCACTAGTGTATTGGTCTAAAAGGATAGAGAAAGAGAGAGGCACTGTCAGGATGGGGAAATGAAAATCGCTGGATTTTACCTTAAAGCGTACGCGAAATTTTATACGGCATAGTTAATTTTCCATAGAATATATCGAGGCGAGTTATTGTAAGGGAAAACTTTACTCTTTCTCGGCGTACAAACCCGTTCCCTTCCCGCGTCACAATTGCCGCGGGTGCGCTAAAATTCACACTGTAATTTCGGTCAGTGAAGATGTGAAAATGATACACTTTCTATTTAAATGAATATCGCATCGTTTTTGTTTCTCCTTCCATTTCTTTCATCCGAGACACAACTTCCAAATATTCTTTTATGACTTGGAGCGTATAATAATTTGAAAATTATTTTCTCTAAGAAGTTAAAAGAAATTATTAAAGTACTTCGATGTGTCTAAATTTATATTTTTCTTCGAGCAATTTATCTTTATTTGGTTTTTTGCTACCTTTCTCAACTATGTTTTATCTTTGATTCTATAAATAACAAGTGTGCTCATAGAAATCGAAATGGAGAAAGGATTCGCATAATACGCGTTGAGAAATAGAAAATGAGAGAGAAAGTGCGAAAGTGATATTGTCGAAAGAAGCGAGAAGGAGATGCGCATTCGTAAGCCAAGGGCCAACTAGTCTGTGAGGATCGACTGGAGAAGGGTGATAGCGGGGGAGGAAACGGTACCGGGGGCGGAGGATGAGCACCGTGATTACCCGCGGCGATTTCTTGGGCCCACCGACCAACCGGGGTCCGATCCCGGGTCAGATCCGTTCGCTATGGGAAAACACTAAACGATCGGCTCACATCACTCAGATTCCGCTCTGCTTTCGATATATACAGGATGTATCCAAAGTCACGTACTTTCTATCAGTTGCAGAATTTTCGATCGATTTAGGATTATCTTTTCGATAAAATTTAATTTCAGAATTTTTATTTAACAATATGGAAAATTAATAAATTAATGTACAAAGTTATCTGATAAATATCAAGTGAATATCAGATTAATTCTAATGGTAATACGTTGCATATTTATGAAAATGCTTAATTAACATTCAAGAAGTGTGCATTAAACATTTTTTGTTATATTTTTAATTCTTTTTTTTTACGTTTTTTTTATTATTGATAAAAAACCGATTTTTATTCAATATAAAAATTTTCACTGTTTTATTAATGCAATTATCACGTAAAAATAGAACATTTATATAAGCAAATGCATTCGCGTGTGACCGATGCATATGAGAATATACGTACGAGCTCGAGAACGAGACACGTCCGCTAAGACATTCCGTTAGATCCCGCTAAATTGCACGTGTCGGACTAGAGGGCGAGGAAATGACGACTTAGTACTTTACCATGGGATACCCTCGAGGCCCTGTGCAGCCTCCTTGACCGGCAGGATGATCGACGATGTTTTAGGGATTATGTGATACCGGAAGCGTGGACTAATGATCGGCTATTACGTCATTCCTGTAAACGCTTGGTAGAAAAGGTCGATACAGAACGATTAATCTTTCGTAAGGCACGTGGAATCTCGCGATAATCTGCAATCTACCTTTGATCAAAATTCTTAATGACATTGCAAACTAAGAATTATAACTATTGCAAAAGTAATTCTCAAGTATTCTTTAATCGAGTACAGGCAGCAATATAAATCAGATAGCCAAATGTTAGGAATGTTGACAGATTGACAGTGATTTTGATCGAATTTGATTAGATGGATGATTATCAATCGAACATTGATGTTAAATGGTGTGTAAACGAATAATTAACTATTTCGATTGCGAGATAGGGATGATTAAAAAATATAATTTACCAAGAAAATTTGAACAATTAATAGTCTATACTTAGTATTTTATAAGACTATTCTATACTTCAAGATGAACAATATAATTGCATTAAATACCAATAACAGTCAAACGTTTATAATATAAGATAACAATGATAATGTTCCACTTCAAGAACGAAATCATATTAGCAGTAAGCAAAAGTGAATTGTATTGTCAGGTAGGTATTATGTTTTCGGTGTATAAACCGAAGCTGCGGGTTATCGTATAAATAGACATAAACATTTACTAATTAACATCGCGTTAGGTCGGTTGGTTGTTACGGGATAATAAACGTTTGGCGTTATTTTGAAATTGTCGATTATACACTGACGATTGAACTAAATTAGTCAGTGGCATGAATTTATGATCGGTGTGCATTATATTGGTGTGTTTACTTCATCCATAACGTCGTACGGTATAAACAAGGCTAAATATGCGCGATCTAATAGAAACTGTTCATACACGGTCTATTCGCCGTGTTTACTAATGCAAACAAATCGCAAATATTTAATTACTTACACTGCGTTTCAGACCGGTATTGATTTTATTTTTCAATTTAATTTTTTACGACAATCGGAATATATTTTTATATGATATTAATAATTTATCATAAATATCATAAAAGTAAAAGATCTTTTCATTTTGGAAAACAGAAGATACATGCTTGAATGTTCAGGTTGAATCAGGTTTAACGCTCTGTATTGCTGCATTGAGTTTGAAAAAAAATCAGTCTCATTATTTTTACTGACTATGCATATATCATCTAGATGTTAACAATGTACATTTTTCGCGCTTATTTCATCATCGAGAGTTTTCTCAGAATGACTGATGCATTATTCCTGTAGCTCGAGGACGCGTCTGCCGGCGGTAGTTTCGCATCGTACTTATTATTATCTTTTTGTCACATGCTTCTAGAGCATCGTTACTAGACGGCATATGAATGTTGGCACGAGTCTCCATGCTAGAAATGATTATCCTAAGCGTATACTGCGTCAACACCGTTAGGCGACGGCGATGATTTAGTCGCTGTAAATCAGTTACAAGAGTAATACCGCATTATACGAAGTATACAATCTCTCTTGACGTGATTTTAATATTGTTTTAATGCGCGGTAGAAATTCCGATCGTGCTAGTCCGCCGCGAGATAATTAAATGCACGCTAATGTGACGCGATAATCGTCAAACAGACGAAATTATATAACATAGGGGCCTATAAATCTATAATCTCTTTTCAAACGGTAGTCAAATGCATTATTCCTGTGATGTTGAAGCTATTTTATTATCGATGGCGATTATAGAGTATGTGCACCATTTCGTTAATTATATCTGTGCAATTTAGTTAAATCTCTGCAAATTAGTTAAAAAAAAAAATAACGATCACATGATTAGCAGTGTCAGTTATAAGATTTCGAAAATCGCATTTAAATAAAATAAATGTAAATAGAAGAAAATTTAAATGTTTCTCTAAACTCTAATAGTATTTTGTATCTTAAAATTTACGACGACTTCATATCAGAACTTTCGTAAATTAATTTTTATTTATTTATTTTTATAAAGAATATGCATTGTAAAATAACACCATTGGTGCTGTGTCAACGTGACTCTATTTGCACGATTTTCTTGCATTTGCGACACACGATGCAACATCGGTCGAGCGACATCGGCCGATACTTTCGAAGCAATAAGGTCACGTCGTGTAATGAGGGAGGAAAGTGCAGCCAAGCGTGACGACGGAGATGGCAGAGTGGGACAAGTCGTCAATTTTACGCGATATTCATTTTGCACTCTTGCTGGTTGCTCGATACGCCGCGACACTTATCCCGACGTTTTCATAGATTAAATCACGTGTGTGTTCGCGATGCGCGTTGTAACGGTTCATAGAAAACGGACCTGCGCTCCACTAACTCGACTAATGATAATCCGTGCATTGCGTGTAAATTTGCCTATCGCGTGGTGTTGTTAGCTTTAGCTTGGTTTCGTTGTTCTGTTAATTTTGGGCTATTTCGTCATAGGACACATACACACACACACACACACACACACACACGCGCGCGCGCGCGCGCGCGCGCGCGCACGCACACGTACAAGTAATATGTCAGTAAATAATCTATCATTGTAAATATAAATCATATATATAATCTGTCACCATAAATGAGTAATGAATACTGAATTTACGCTGATAATAGTAACAAAAAAGTAATATACCTACTTTTATTTTTTGAGGAATTATATATTGCAAAGATTATATACGTTATATTCTTTTCCCATGATTACTTTATACGATTTTAATTAATTTTAATCAAATTAAAAGCATTATTTTAATTTAAAATTAATAGATTATGTAATTTAAATATTATTTAATATAATATTTAATATAATATGTAAAAATATTATGTACTTTTATTAATACGTAATAATATTAAATATTATTTAATATAACGTGAAATATAGATATGTGATAAATATTAAATTTTTATTAAGTGAATAAGTTATATTGTTTAATATCTTTTTATTTTTATCATAAATTATAGCATAGATAATTGCTATAGCATAATGACTAATTTAATCAAATTTACTTAAGTATTTCTAAGTTAAATTAGAATTTTTATTATTTTTATGTTTTTTTTTTCTTTTATCTTTATTTGAGCAATATAATAGCACAACTTAACAATACCGATACTATGAGGCTATCCATTATGATTTTCTCGTTTATTCATTATGGACAGTCTAGATAGAAACATCTTCGTAGCGAGTCAGAGCTCATGCCTATTCAGTTAACGAGACGACCAGTGAACGATAAGGCCACCTGTCAATTATGATCAGCTTTCTCACGAACGTATCTATTACGGCCTACTGATGCCGTATGTATGTACACCGCAGTCTGATGCCGTGCATCCGTAATCTCCTTGTGAAAGGAACGATTTTCCTCGCCGCTAAACACGCTAGATATTTACTCATGTCGCAGATAGTGCATTCTGCTCGTGTAACGAACGTCTTCGCGGAACGAAGATTACGAGACTACGCAGTGATATTTAGCAAGTTCGATATTATGTTTGATAACCGTTGAGACACGCTGCAATGCATCACGTCGACTTAAGAATCTGATCTATACAAGTTTATATTAGATTTAGAATAATGAGAAGAAACAGACTAAACAAATAGTATAAAATGTGTTCAGTATATTTATACTGATCGTATAATTTTAATTTACGCTTATGTATCGCGATTCTGATTCAACTATATATTATGAGATTTGCTCATCGGGGATTATTTTACATCAGTTCAAACTTCGTGCGGTATTATACTTGTAGATTTTTCTTGCCGCAGCAAAGAGGATAGCTGCGGGGTGATACTTCGAGGAGATTAAAACCCTCTCCATAAGCAAAGTGCAGTTGTGCTTTCACGTTACGTCTCTTTTATGCATAAAGCGTACGGGTACATCGCAAATAGCCTTTGGACACTGCCGGGCACAGTAACGGTGTGCCTGATTGCGAGCGATATGTTCTCAGAGATATTGCTCGGTACGAACATCCTGGAGCGTTGTCGATGGTCACGTTTCCGCGATCCGGACATCACGCTCCCTTTCTACTCTCTCGCTCGCTAGAATTTCTTCGTGCCGTTTAAAAGTCGCACTCCATACTTTTGCGAAAAGACGTATCTGCCGCGGAAGATATCCGTTCGCGATTTCAGCGCAAAGTTATACATTGAACCATCGTTGTCTTGTCTTTTCTTTGTTATGTCGAATGATATCTTTTTCCCGAGCGTGCTTAGAATTCTTTTATAGTGTTTTTTCGAACTTGAAATTCATATATTTAACGTTCTTTAAGGACACAAATTAAGTTTTTCACGATATTGCATCGAAAACGCGTGAAAATCATTTTATTCTCGGCCTATCTTGAATCATTAACGATCAAAATATACGAATGTATTCTTACTTCGTTAAAGTCTCGAGGGAGGACGTGTATATCGTGCCACCGACGTCGATGTGGACCGGTGCGGTATACCTCGAAGCGGCTGCTACACAAGGAATACCGGTCATCTTCTGGTTGTAAGCCGGGGCCGCCGGCGTCGGTGGTGTTGGCGATGAGGAATTCGACATCGTGGGCGAGGTGGCCGGCGAACTGCTTGGCGACAGCAATCTAAGAAAGATATTTTTGATATTTAACGCGATAAGATCGTGTTCGACTTCCTAATTATAACCTTTCGAGATATCTTAAATAACTACATCATAATCTTTATGTCAGACGTTAATGAAAGGACCGAGTTTTCGGTTTGCCTTAAATAAAACGCAGCTGTTGTTTATACATAAATTAAGTAATTTTTTTCAATCATTTTTTAGATTGCGTATAATTTTAATGCAGCATTCTATGTTGTAAATATGATTCTAGACGATGAAAAAGCTAATTAAACGAAGATGAGTTATGAAACGTTGCTGACGTTATAATTTATGATATATGAAATTAAATGACATTTGCGCGGAGAGAGGATTTTACTGAGTTATATTATATAAGTCTTTCTCAGATGGACTATTCTGAACCGCCTTGTAAATATTAACTTATATTGGAACTCGGATGTAGACTTATTTACCTCATTTTAATTTGAGCGCTAGGGAACATATTGCGTTGCGCCGTCAGCTCTGCCTTCGCCTCCTTCCCATCAGCCTCACATTTCCGTCTGGAATTAAAAACATGTAGACATTATTATTTGCATTGCCAATAAAAAAAATAACAGTAAATATAATGATAAATTAAATTTGAGAGATATACGCATGAAAAATTTAAACAAATTTCTATGTGATAGTATTTGCAACGATTAGCATAAAATAATAGAACTATTGTGCATTAATTTGTCGATGTCGTATTTAGCACAATATTTTGCAGGCAGTCAACTGTGCACTTTGGATTTTTTTGAAATTAATTAATCGAAGATTAATTGATCATCGATTCATTAATCGTAAGTGCAATATCTATTTGGTTATGTCTTCATTTAGTTTCATCGTGCTTATATCTGAAGATTATATAAAGTGTTTATACACGTCAAATTAAGCAACAGTTTTTGCATATTGCGCGTTATTATCATTAAAATTGAATCGCCGTGTGTTCAGCGCTTATGCGTTTTATTCGCGTAACATAGGTGTCGATTTAGTGTATCGATCTCACGGCTAGCCGCGGACAACGATAACACTAGTTTAACGAGCTATTGTTTTTGGTCAAACATTGGCAATACTGAATCGACTGAGCGCCTGGAACATTAATGCGAAATTCTCGTATGCATTAATAAGGCAATTAGTGGCGAAACAATATTTGGTCGACGCTGGCTGGCCGACCGTTCATGAGTATTTTTTTCCACGCGTTTCCAACGCGAAAAGGGAGAGCGGGTTGGTTTGCGAGTTAGAGTACCCTCTCGAATTTTCATTATTACGTGCTCGTGAAAGGCTCATTATTAGCTATTGTCCTGAGGCTTGCTTTTCATAGCTTCTGTAATGCATGGTTTTTAGACATAACTAAGGGGATTAATTTTCCTTGCTTATCTTCCTTGACATTTTTGACAGCTTGGAAAGAAAATTGAGATATTTAAGTAATGTAAATTTCTTGAAACTCTTTGATATTTCAGAGTAATTAGCAATCAACATATATTGCATAATCTCTCTATATTGTTAGATCTACATTGTTCGACAAACTGTTTGACAAGAAAAAATCGACGCGCTCCGATAAAACAATTCTACATCGCTGACATTTGGCTTTACAAAATATTAGTCTGTGATATTTAAGACACAGAGTTTCTTAACTAAATAATTCTTGTATATTGTCATATTGTTATCAGCACATGTAAAATTTATAGATGAGGAGGCTTGCTTTTTGAAGTGTGTCAATTTTTTTTATCAGTGTATATAGAAAAGAAAAGAAACATTAATACACATTTTTTATCGATAAAGAAGTCCTTTGGTTAATAACGTTCAGTCAATATCATAAGAGAATTTAAAAATTGTCATGTTTTGCGTATAAGCAAAAGCAGCCGTCTTGAGCTTCATTGTGCGCGCCGTGACAATCGTGAAACTCGACAAGGGAAAAAGACGCGTCTATCCGTCGCAGTACTTGTTTTCCATCGTCCGACGAAGAATTCGCGATGGTCAGAAGACCACGGCGCGGAAGGGGGTACCGGTTTTCTCCTCCACCCACCACCCTCGCCCACATCAGTCCGTGCCGTTGTGCGGTGCATCGCCGCGGGAGACGCCGCGAAATGCGATGCAGCGCCTTTTCTCGGCCGCTCTGCGAGAGGTCGCCAGGCGATGCGCGATGCTTCTCTTCTCCCGACGGCGGAGAATGGTGGCGGGGTACCGGCGGTCGTCGCAAGTCGGACATCGGGTTAAGGAGTAGAGTAAGAGGTGGTGTGGAGCCGGGCGCGGAGGCGGACGAGCCAACAACGGCCATCACGGCCGCGCTGACGCCGCGGGCTGATCGGGAGATTTATGTGGGGCTATGCATTTACGAGTAGAGAGACGCATACTTGCATACATAATTAACTCGCCTTATTGTGGCAATCTTTAATGTCGATGAAATATCGATCATTATCGCGCTTTTGTGCGCGGAAACATGTGTCATCAGTATGATCGCGCGTTGACGGTATCGCAGCGAAATTAATGAGTTTTGACAGCGCTTCAGTCATGTTCTCCATGTTTAAAAGCATGTTTGCATGTAAGATGGGCGGAATAAAAAAACATTCGGTGGCGTTGTTAGATTATTACCGCTTACATCAAGCGAATGTAATATTTTTATTTTATTCTTTATTTTACTTACAATGTTTTTTCTTGATTTTTGATAATATTTTTTATAAATAATGATATGCAAGTTTTAAAATGATTGTGCGAACGCTCATGGATAAAGAAAAGTAAGCTGAACAGAAAAATCCTTTACCGTTTTGTAATTTTTGCAATAATTATTAAGATATTGATTAAAAAGAATCGGCGAATAAGAGCACGTTTTGCGCGGCTAAATCGTAGAATGTATGCTCTAGGCGTGACAGCGGCGAGTGTCGCATGGTAACGAAAAGTTTGGTTGCTCGGCGAGGACAGAAGTAACACGCGGCAGAAGCTTTACTTTTCGGCACAGTTTTGTCGCGCGAAACGCGCGCTCTTTCGCCAATCTTTTTTAATAATTTTCTCCATAATTATTGCAAAGATTGCAAAACGGTAAAAGACTTTTCTATTCGGTTTACTCTTCTCTACCCAGTCATGAGACACAATCATTCTGAGACATTCTATATAACTATAGTATTGTTTCGAATATCATTGTAATGTAAATGTATTTATATTTTACAGATAAACTTTGTACGCGTCAGTGCTACAAGATATATTCGCTCCGTAGTAATATAACAAAGTTCGCGTCGGGAGTGCCGTTTAAAGTGTCGCGCGATTTTCGCATTCGAGTAGCGCGTGTGCCGTGAACATGTGTGAGTGTTTTGAAGGACCGCTGAAAGGAGGAAAAAGCCTAGAAGGCATCAAACGACAGCAGAGCATCGATACCGTAAGTAATTTGTCACAAAAAATGCATGTTTTTTTAGTGATAATGAAAAGGTTAGCTCAATGTATATGCGGAGCCAAATAATTATCTGTTGATTAACTGCTGATCTGATATTTGAGCTTCCTCGCTCGTCGTACTTTATTATATACAGTCGACTACGTGATCGTGAAGGTAATATAAGAGATTTTCGTTTATTGTGGGCGGGGACGAACTGGGAAGGTTGATTTAATTCATTTATGATATACATATAAATTAAAAAGGAAGATATGTGAAGAAGAAAATTTAGTTAAATTTTATCCATACGTTTTCATCACTGATGAAGACATATAATAGCTTCGATACGAGTCTCGTTGAAAACGGTGTTATCAAGTGTGCTCATAACACAGCGGTGAAATGAACGGCAGCGCCGACTGAAAGAAGAATCTGAAGAACGATATAGCTATAACAATAGCAATGATCATCATGGTCGTTCGCGCGCCTCGGGGCGATTGGTCGATATACGAATGTACATTACAGTACTGAAACCATTCGGCGATTAATTTTATGTATAATTACATGCCTAAAATCGACAATTAATTCAATATAGAAATTAGTATTTACGTTTGCAGAAACAATTTACGTAAATAATTCGGTGCGCGTTGCGGCATTTTGTAGCAAGATCAATATTTAAATCGATCGATCTCGGCTAAACAGAGCCGCGCCGCTTTTGCGTGCAAATAGATCAAGATTTTCGCATCGCGGGAAGAAATCACGGAATATGGAAGTCAGGACGAATGCCGTAACGATATCTGCAATAACGTCCATCGCGACGTGGCGATGCCTCGAGCCAATTGTATCTCGTACGTAGATAGTTTTATTACATGCATACATCCACATATGTGTCAGCGAATATGCACGCATAAAGATAGGTGGGGCAGAGAATACACAATTATTGTGTACTATCTATACAACTGTCCGCATACGACTTCTTCGCTAATACGACTTTACATACAATAATATTCGAATAGTTCTCAAGTGAACATACTACACAGCTGTGATCGAGATCTCTATTCATGCAGATTTGATACGCAATAAAAATACAAATGAAAAATTGATTGGCATTTTATGCGACGTGATTTTGATGCTGCAAAGAATGACTGCTTCGCGTCTTTGACGAATATTTTAAAGATAGTTTTTTGGCTAAATTTAAAGTTGATTTTTGTCTATTACTTTTCAATTTTTAATTAAATTTTTTAGTAAATAAAGTTAATCTAAAACTGCGAAACAAATTTTATTATCTACTTACAATTTTGAAGCTTAATTCAAAATTTTCTTATTTGTACTATGCTAAAAATTAAATATGAAATATTACTGACAATCGATGCTAAAATTTAAACTGTTTATAATAAAGTTGCATGTGCAAAAGTTGAGGGAGTTTATTAAATTCTGATGATACTGTATATAAACTTCGTGTAGAAATAAAAATTGAAAAGTAATAGACAAAAATCAACTTTTTAGTTATGAGTAGTAGCAGCTTATGCAAGTCGGCACGTGTCCGATGTCGCGAAGGCGAAAAGCGCTTCACCGAGCTTGAAGATGCGACGTCGTCGCCTCTCGAACGTCAAATTAGAGAGGAAGGAGAAGCAGCGGGAGAAGATGAAGAAGGTGATGTTGGTCGCGACGTCGTCCGCAACGACAACACCATCATATTCGCGTTATTACCCGGAGCTATCGTACCCGGTATCTTATCCAGATATAGTTCTGATACGCACACGCGTATATACGAGCAAGCGAGCGAGACGAGCGCGTGCGAACGACCACTGACACGCTGCAAAGCGTATAAATTCACGCACATACGTTAGGGTGATCACAGCCCGAGGACACAATGAGGCGGCTCACACGCGCTAAGGACGCGCGCGTGCACGGTGTCGTGCACAGAAGAAGAGCACTACTAACTTTACATGGACGTTTAATGGCCTGGGGACGTCGGCGTATGCAAATTTGAAAGCACTCAGTTACATCGGGCGACGATGTATCGCTGGAAAAGCTTGTCACTAGACGTGGAAATGAGTCAACCGCGCCATTTTGTGGAAAAGTTGGGGTAGCTCACCAGAGAATTATATAAATGATATAATTAAACAATACATACATTGGAAAAAACTGATCTGACGGGAG